TTGTCCAAACAAAATGGCAGCTGAGGGATGATGGGAATGTATGTGTTAAGAAAACTCTTCAAAGTACATTTGACTCGAGTTATGTATGTATACAATGGCAGCATAAACAAACAGAGAAAGAAACAGGAACTAAAATGTGATTTTTCCCCAAGGCTTTCCGCTAGATTGCCACAACAAAATAATGTATTCTGAACACAGACTCTTAAAAATACCATCTGTAAGTTTATTTGATTTTTCCTTACCTGTAGATGGCAGATATGAAATCTGATCCCCTCTCTCCTCACCTGGCCTTTGTTCAGGCTCACCTGCTCTCTGATCTTCTTCTGTCAGGCCCAAGATAACGGCACGTCTAAAACAGAACGAAGTTTTAATAAACCTATTTATCCAGTTGTGTTGGGGTGTGCGTAAGGTCCAAACAAAGCCAACAGCCAAACAGACCTGTCTCCCTTACTCTCAGGGCCCCATGCAAGGGGGTCATGGGGGCCTTTGCCAGGAAATTTGCAAGAGTTGATGATTTTAAAAAGTTATTCTCTTTATTATTATTATTATTATTATTATTATTATTATTATTATTAGTAGTAGTAGTAGTAGTAGTAGTAGTAGTAGTAGTAGTAGTAGTAGTAGTAGTAGTAGTAGTAGTAGTAGTAGTAGTAGTAGTAGTAGTAGTAGTAGTAGTAGTAGTAGTAGTAGTAGTAGTAGTAGTAGTAGTAGTAGTAGTTGTTGCTATTGCTGTAGTGTATAGTAGTAGTAGTAGTAGTAGTAGTAGTAGTAGTAGTAGTAGTAGTAGTAGTAGTAGTAGTATGTACTTTGACAATTCATATTTAGGAGGAAATAGTTTTTCTTAACAGTTGTTAATTTTACAGTCCTGCTGGTTAAGAAAAAGGAAGTCCACAGGGGTCCAGGTAATTACTCCACTATGGAGACTCTGAGTCCAAATCTATTGTATCATTTTGATATTCTCCTGTATTACTGTTTATAACTAATTATGTCCCCAGGCCAAGTTAAAGGTCAGATCTGTGGAAAGGTGCCTCCACTCAAAGTAAGAATGCATCTTTTTCAAGACATTTTTTAATGAAGAAAACAAATATATTTGACTAAATGGCTCAATATCTATGGAGACAAATCAGTGGTGGCCTCCCAACAGGAAGGTTACACTATGTACTTTTAAGAAATAACAAGTGGCTACGGGAATCTCTGCGCATCCCACTCCTCACTTCTTCTCCACCCCCCACCCCTGCTCCTCCCTTTTTCGGCAGCACCGCTTTGCCTAACCAATTTTCTGTGGGAAACACTGAATATTGTTCTAGAAGACATTTGTTTAAATTAAAGAATTTATAAAATGTCTATCCCAAAAGACTTCTATTGTCATTTTATATAACAGCCTCTGTTATTTTATCTAACAGGGAGCTGATACCAGAAGCATGAGTGCTAAAAATGCCCTGCACCATCCGCATATGGCCCGCTCCCCCAGAGAGCACGACCCCTATCAGTCCAGTACACTATGTTCTTGTATGTGCAGTGGGCCAGCGCATTTGGACAAAGAGGAAAGACTTCACTGTTTGTTAAAGTCCATGAATAATAAAAAGCCTGCATTGAGCATTTCACTATTGGCCTGCGGCGTATTGGAAAGTGGCCCTTGCATAAGTAATTCTAAACATTTATCCTCGTAACTCAGGGGAAGTCATTTACTAAAAGGTATACAGTTTGGCTCAGTAGTGGAAGTTGTTAGGGGTTTAATGTGAGATTTTCTCTTCACCTGGTAGTCAATGAGTAACTGACCTCAAGCACCTTAACCACATGCTAGACACAAGACAGAGCCCAGGGAATTAATCCTACGAGGAATGTCTGAAAATACCAAACAGGCCTATAATATAAGAGAAAACTGGTTAGGCCCTGAGTAAATATATTACGCAATAATTCCACTATGGGACTTTTCAGGTAGAGGGTTCTCCACGCGCTTGTCTCTGTGGAGATGTTATTGTATTGTCTGCAATGTTCCACTGTCAGTTTGTTATCAATTCTATCTTACATTTATTCATTAACATTTTATTGCTAATAGAAATACTGTGAGTTGAACAAAAACATGCATTCTACTGTGATCGGCCTCATTTCAGCAGCTGTAACTTGGCCTATAGCTTAAATCAAATGCAATATACGAAATAACATCTCCATACTGTACACAGATCATACATTGCTCCTTTAAAATTTAACAAAACATCTTAAAAGTATCTCATTTTTGCTCTAACATCCAAACAACAAGAACGACGATGCAGGGGGGCACATGGATAGTATATGCCACATGACTGAGGAGAAGTTGAGATGTGTTTTACCGCAGACAATTCACAATTGATTATCACTTGAGATAAAGAACCAGTAACAACTATGTGCTTGGAAGTGCTGAACTGTAACTCTTGTAAGATTTAAGCCACGTTACCACCTCAAAAACAGACCAGGAGTTGTGTTTTGTTTCATTCACACATGATTGAGTAACTCTTTATTAGGTTAAGATTAGAGATTGGTTATTCCAGAGCTGTAATCTTCCAAATGACTCACAGTGGAACATTTCCTGTTTTACCACATGACATGACAAGGTGGAGAAGAGCCTACATTTGCACGATATGTTAAAGAAATGTTAACACACCTCCAGACATGAAGAAGAAATGTTATCACATTACAACATCAAAAGATGATTCATACTTAGGCTTAAATTTAGATTTAGACAAACTTGATCTGCAAGGGATTACCTGGACTCAGCAGCTCACACATCACAGCATATTATCATAACAAAGAGCAAAAATATAAAGTGTAATAATAAATTCTAAATAAGTAGCAAAAAAGAAGGCAAGAGACAGGTGTCAAATAAGGCATAATGATATAAATGTAAATGTACAAGTCACAATAAAAAAAAAAAAGAGTAAAAAAGAGGTCATAGAAGGACAGTGCAACAATGATATGATGATTGACAGGACATAGGGTTATTCGTTACGTAAGGGTGAGTTGTAGCCAGTACGAACTCAGAGGTACAGCCATGTTTACCAACATGAAAATCAGTAATCAGAAATTTTGCATATCTGTTAAAGAGGTGGAGCTTTGGAACAACTGTACAGAAGACCTAAAACTGTGTACCAGTCTCTTCCAATTTATAAAGAAGTTTCAATGTTTAACTCTGTGCGGATACATGAATTACGATACTTAGTTTGTGCTGTAGTACTTTGCCATACTGTTAATGATTTGTTTGTTTCCTCTTGTTGTATTTATGAATATGAACTACTGTCAAGATGACGCTATGACAAAGGAATAAAGGGTAAAGGCATAAAAAGCTCAAGTATAATAAGCTCAGCCTACACCTTTTCAGTCTGTGTATGTTAAATGTGACAGTCTGTGGGATAATGTCACAATATACATCTGTGTCCAGAATAAATTAATCAAAATTGTTGTACATTTGTAGGGAGTGTTATCTGTTACATAAGAGTGACTTGTACAGTTGTAGGGAGTATTATTTGCTACATAAGGGTGACTTGTTGTATAGTTGTAGGGAGTATTATCTGCTACATAAGGGGGAGTTGTTGTACAGTTGTAGGGAGTATTATCTGCTACATAAGGGGGAGTTGTTGTACAGTTGTAGGGAGTATTATCTGTTACATAAGGGTGAGTTGTTGTACAGTAGTAGGGAGTATTATCTGTTACATAAGGGTGAGTTGTTGTTGTACAGTAGTAGGGAGTATTATTTGTTACAGAAGGGTGAGTTGTTGTACAGTAGTAGGGAGTATTATCTGTTACATAAGGGTGAGTTGTTGTACAGTTGTAGGGAGTATTATTTGTTACATAAGGGTGAGTTGTTGTACAGTTGTAGGGAGTATTATCTGTTACATCAGGGTGAGTTGTTGTACAGTTGTAGGGAGTATTATCTGTTACATCAGGGTGAGTTGTTGTACAGTTGTAGGGAGTATTCTCCATTACATAAGCTTGAGTTGTTGTACAGTTGCAGGGAGTATCTTATTTGGTAGAACATTAGTCCACTGATCCAAAGGTTGGAGGTTTGAATCCCGCTTTCAGCATAATAAACATCATCAGATCCATTGGCCCACAGGTTGGCGGTCTGATTCTAGTTCTAGCTGTCATTATGTCCTTGGGCAAGACAATTAACCCATCTGATAAAGAGCTTTGAGTGCCTTGAAGTTGTAAAAGTGCTATATAAAAATGCGATCTTTTACCATTTTACCATTATCTGTTACATAAGAGTGAGTTGTTGCACAGTTGTAGGGAGTATTATCTGTTACGTAAGGGTCAGTTGTTATACAGTTGTAGATTGACTGATTAATTTATTATAGTTACAGGTATATTCCAACATTATTCCACAGACAGCCATATTGAACACACACTGACCGAAAAGGTGTAGGCTGAAGCTTGAACTTATTATGTGCACAATTTGTAAGGAATTGTTGTACAGTTGTGGGGAGTAATATCCGTTACATCAGGGTGAGTTGTTGTATAGTTGTAGGGAGTATTATCTATTACATAAGGGTGAGTTGTTGTACAGTTGTAGGGAGTAGCTTATTTGGTAGAGTGTCAGTCCACTGATCCAAATAAATAATTATATTGTGACATTATTCCACAGACAGTCATATTTAACACACACTGACTGAAAAGGTGAAGGCTTGAGCTTATCATGTGTACAATTTGTAAGAAGTTGTGGTACAGTTGTAGGGAGTATTATCCGTTACATAAGGGTGAGTTGTGCAGTGAATGATATGTACCTAATCTAGACATTTATACGTGCAGGCCCCGTTTTCCTTCTGACTTGTCGCGGTGAACAGTCTGCTGGTATATAAGTTTTGCTCGCAGCTGTCAGTGGCTTTATGCTCTGTCGTCATGGTGACACGCCCCTCGGCTCGAGCGCTCACATGGTGTTCTGTGATTGGCTGCGGGCCGCTGTCAGTCACGCCCTCCGCCGTGTTTCCTGTGTGAGCCCGTGGACTCGCTCTGTCTGCGGAGTGTCTTCGTTATGGACAGCTGCTCCACTCCTCAACTTTTTACTGGAGCTCATAACGCGCGTGTTCTCTTCCCCGCAGCCTCCTCAGCACCCAGACATGGATTCCTAAACTGGAACTGACCCAGACGTGAAAGCTTACAAGCTGTTGAATTTATTTTTTTGTTGAGTTTGTAGAAGGAAGAGGAGGAAAATGCCTGTAGCAACTCTTTTACCTTTTACCACGACTCCTAATAGGAAGTCTGCCAGCCCGACCTCCTTCAGGTTGACAGAGAAATTCATTTTACTTTTAGTATTTAGCGCTTTCATCACGTTATGTTTCGGGGCTATTTTCTTTTTACCGGACTCCTCAAAGCTGCTTAGCGGAGTTTTCTTTCATTCCTCCGCTGTGGAGACCAACACTCGCACCAACCCGGATAGCAATGACTCCGGTTCGGCTGCGAATGACGAGAAGGTCCTGGCCAAAATCAGGAAAGACCACGAAAAAGCGCTATTAGAGGCAAAGGATACGCTACAGAAACGACCCGATGAGATTGAAAAGGACATTTTAATGGAGAAGCAGAAAGTTGCGAAGGAAAGCGCGGGTGTCGGTGGCAAGGATGTGAATCATTTACCTATGGTCGAGTACCAGCGGCCACCGGGAGCCACGGGGCGAGAGCCGATGGACGCGGAGACCCGGGAGAGGCGGGCGAAGATCAAAGAGGTACGTGTCCTAGGAGCTCGCGTGCTCACCACTCACCAAACCTGGCTACACATCCGTCTTATATTTAACTTCATATTGTTTTAACTTACCTTTGTAACCCTTGTGAACTTTTATTTTAACTTTTAAGAATACTTCCATGCCTATTTTATAATTCGGGTTGGCTTAAGCAGAAACAAACCGCTCAACGTGTTGCTTAAGGTAATGAAAATAAACCCTTGCATTTCCTGAAATCATGTAAACCGCAATTCACCTAGCAGCACTAAACCAAACAATGTACGTTGCGTAATTCTCATGGCCCCAGTCCATAGTACTATAGGAGGCTATTTAGCTCATGTCTTTTGGGATGGTGAAATACAAGGCTATTACTGGCAGAAAGGCAGCTCTGGAAAGGAAAATGAGGAATGTATGTTAGGTTCACCATCGCCTCCCCCAGGCTGAACTACCTGTCTGGCAAGTTTCCCACGTTGTATTCTGTCTATAGCTTAGTGGGGTTGGGGTTTAACGTGACTCGCCACAACACTTTTGTGGCAGGCAGCCTATGTAACCTCATCTTGTAACATGTAACGACAAATGTATGAATAGACCAGCACAAACTTATAGACCGAGACACACATATGCTACACAATGCTTTAAAACTCAGCTTGTATGTACTCGCCCAAATATTTTCATTTATAGCATAGTTTGCCATTCATCCGTAGTTTCATTTCCACGTTACAAGCCAAAACTGTTAACGGGAAATGCCAAGATATGTTTCTTTTTTAATGGAAATACAACAAGGTGCAGACTAAAGGTGCTGAATAAAGGTGCAAACTAAAGGTGCAGAGTAACGGTGTGGATTAAAGGTGCAGTCTAAACATGCAGACTAAAGATGGCCTCAGGCATCTTGTGTATTATAGTAATTTGCCATAGTCACACAATATGAAACAATATGTGAGTGCCTATCAACTTTCATTTTGGTAATTTTGATGCTGACGTATCAGCATAACCAGTCCATTGCATATATAGGCTTTCTTAACACCTATTCCAATACTACAATGATAATAAAAACTAATTTTCAACATTAAATATGGATGTAACGATATCCAAATCCCTCGATACAATATTTTCACAACATGCAATCACACTGTGTGAGGCTATTATTATTGTAGATAGGATACTTTTGACTTTTAAAATACCTTGACAAGATTCTGGTGTGAATTATTGCTTTCACAATCTTAAGAATTCAAGTAAAAAACGTATTTCTTCGTTTGACTGCACTAAAAATGAATCATGGGATGTGTAATTCCCTATGATTATTGGCTGTTGCTACTATCAAACCATGCATTTCAGCAAAAGAACTTGTAATTTGATATATTGTGACAGTTCCCAATATTATTTTGAGACTATTGATGATACGATGTCTGGATATTTTGATTATTGTTACATCCCTAACATTAAATAATAGTACTTTCTTTTACCGAGTGGTGTTATATGTGTAAGCCTCAATGGTCCAGGTGGGTTCCATAGTGGTCCATGGGCGTACACTAGTCTATATTCTTTTATACTTGTTCTGATACAGCTCAAGATCATTCTAAAGCTACTCAAAATAGTTCATTTTTGTCCTGTGAATGTGACTTTTTTAGTATCGATACCTGCTCAAATGATTATCTAGGTTTGATATTAGTTTTAGTATCGATTAGAGTCAGAATTACAATGGTTTTGACAACCCTAATGTGAATACAGGTGTGTTTGAAAACTTGTAACAACTTAGGAATTGTGTTGTGTATGTTTCAGTGTTACGATAAGCCTATTCAAATGCAGGTATTTCAGTTCCATGAAACCTTTGTATAGAGAGCAACCTCGCCAGAATATTTTACATTGCAAATACAACATAATAAGACACTTGATGTTTCAGTGAGTGCACAAAGTAGACCTGATGCAAGAATGAATTTAGTGAATGTATGATTGTTTTCTGCTTGTCTCTACCCATCATTAACTGAATTGAATACTAGTTATTTTCTTACTGTTTTTGCCTTTAACCGTACTAACAATCCAGTCTGTTGTATGCCTTCTATAATTTTCGCTTTCTGTATTAAATTTGAAGAGCACTCTGGTTATGAAAGCATTTTTGATTGAAGCGCATTTTGTCTGAGAGCGCTTTGATAGACTATTGTTTCCTATTGAGTGCGTCTCTGCCCTACAATCAAATCAATGAGATGGTATCGACGTCTTATTGAAAATCATTATGAAATCTCATGTCCTTGTGAGCCGGAGTTGAAACGGACGAGGTGAGGTCAGACGACTGCTTTATTAAACAGCCTTGGGACTTTTGTTTGACATCATAATCAATATCTAACCTTGTACTCTTTATTTTAAAATCTTCTCTGGAGCATTTGAATTGTTTCTTGAGGCTTTATCAATAAAGATGGGTTTTCAGCAGGTACTCCCTAAAGTACAGTGACTAGCTGCAAGACAATGGCAATAATTTTTTATAGTCCAATTTTCATTCACAAATATAAGCCAGGCCTAAACCAGAATAAAACCTGCTCTGAAAGGGACAGTCCACAATTTTGGACATAGGACCTCATTTCCTAGTGAGAAAGAGTGTTGGAGACGTGTGGAGACACTTCTTAAAATATTCCATCCAGTCCTTGTATTTGCAGAGGTCGCTGGTGCTAGGCTAGTGCATGTCAATGGCCATAGTTAGTCTGCCACTAAAAACAGTCTTATTTACCCCACAAAGCACCCAAAGTAAAACAATTATTATGGCAGACTGTCGATGTAAATGTCTTGCCTTGCATCACATGAATTGTTGCATGTTGAGGGACTATTTTCTCAGCAGCAGCAGAATTTTAGTTTGCCGATAAGGTTGATGCTAGATGATATCAGTCCGCCACTGCCAAGCTTTCTATCAGGAAGTACAACTCGCCGCTGCTGCTCAGACATAAATCCTTCAAATGCAAGGTTGGTTTTACTCCTAAAATTATTCTATCGACATAAACATTTACAACGACAGTCTGGCGTAATAATACATTTGTTTCGGGTGCTTTGTGGAGTGGGTAAAACTGTTTTTAGTGGCAGGATAACTATGACCATTAACATGCACTAGCCTAGCACCAGCGGTCTCTGCAAAAACAAGGACTGGATGGAATATTTAAAAACGGGTCTCCACACGTCTCCAACACTCTGGCTAAAACTAGGAAATGAGGTCCTGTGTCCAAAATTTGGGACTGTCCCTTTAGGGGTAGAAACCAGAAGTTATGTAAGAAATCAGTTAAACCTGAACTGTAGACAATTTGAAGCTCCGGGTGCTAATGGCGCAGAACCACTGACTTCCTGTAGCCTAAGAAGCTGTGCAAGCTTACTGAATGGAGTCCATCACTACTATGTGATTAATTGAATGACTTGGCAGATTACATTCTGTTTTAGAGAATTTTATGATCAAAAGTAAAACAAAACAAAGTCTGATCAGCTAGGCCTGTGCAGTTAATGGCATTTTAATCCTCCGAGAGTCAGTCATTTCTAATCATCAATAATAGGCTTGGGTCTTTTAATCGAAGGTCTGCTGCCAGTCGTCATTAAAAGCATGTGGTTTGGAGCAGAGTTCAGACTTGGGAGAAATAAATTTGACTGTGTAAATATAAAACTGAAATGCAAATTAACAAATCAACCATTCCTCATGTCGTCCAGCTCTATGACCAGTGTCAGTGCTGTACCATCACCACCACCTTGCCAGATTAACCGAAACAAGTAACTACAAAAAGGTTACAACTCTTGATGCAGCGCCAGCTTTTTGAAGCACAACTTGCCAGTGTCAGACGGCACAGTGGTTATGAATGAAACAGCTGTGTCCCCTCATCCTCCTGTGATATTGGCAAACCATAGATTGTCCTCAAACAGCATACAACATCACTAGACACAAGCAAAATAAATATTCTATTTAGTCACAACCCCAGACCTTGAATTAAAAGACTGTCAATATTAGCCCTGGCCTTATATTCTGTGCTTTACTGTAGCCCTGTGTCATGATTTAAAAGTGAATATCTCATGAGTGGGGTGAGCATATGGATTATTGGATCTTTTCTTCTCCTATACCGAAAAAAATTTGAATATTTTATTTATGTTGTTTGCATAATTTATCAGAGTAGCGATCTCTTGCTACTTCTTATTCTGATATGTTCCTTACACAATGGGGAGAATGAAGTGATGGTTTATTTAACATTTCTTTGCTGTAGGCTGCTGTCGTACTCAGAATACTGCATGATTACTGTACTTGAGCCTTTCATTTGTTTTCATTGTTCTCTTTTGTTCGTGCCCCTGCTTGTGTCACCAGCCCAACTTACTGGTGAGATCAGTGGAGAGCAGACCCTGCCTCAAGTTGTGCAAGTAATTATTTTATTTTACCACTACAACCTTTGCTATTTGATAATCCACCAACGGAAATTGCCCTCTGCTAAACTACCCTAAACTACCCCAAACAGTTAGCTCGTCAAATAAAAACAGTAGTCAATAAAGTAATCTATATTGTCCCAGTACAATGAAAACATACGAGTTCATTTGTCAAAAGAAAGACTGATGACTGGTTGTTGTTCACTTAGCCTCAGGGATGAGCTGATGTGATTTTTATGTGTCTTTGGTGTCAGCTAATGTCTTCATTTGGATGCGCCGCAAAACCAACTTCCTTTTGTTTAACCAACAATTATGTATAAAGTTCAACGCAGTGTTACTTTCAGGAAATATTACAAAAAAGACAGGAGTGTCAGCCGCAAGATAGTTTGAGCTTTTCAATGTTTGCTTTTGCATTTATACAAGCAAATAAGGCTGTTGACCTTTCCTCTACCATATCTGAGTCTGCGCTTTGAATAGGCTCATTATAATCGGTTGAACAGGTAAGCGCTCTTTAGATCACCGACAAGGAAGCTAAGTTTATATAATAAAACAAAGACACTTTTCACTAGTGACAAAACTCCATCTCTACAAAGATTTCCCGAAGGTGTTATGGTCTGACAAGATTATTACCA